TTCGAAAGGGGGCTGGGAGGCCCAGCCAACAGCTTCGCCTCAGGCGAAGCCTAGCTCCAGCTCGGTTGTATCGTAGCAACGATAGTCCCAATGCAAGACGGGATGCCATGTCAAGTAAAAGGGGATGCCTTTTAGTATCAATAGCGATAGTGTGCCTCGCGGTGAGGCACAGTCAAATCTAGGCGGCCGGCCGCTTCACCCAAGACGGCCGCGGGCGCACGCTCGCTTCCGCTCCTTACGTCCCCCAGCTCATTTTAAAGTCTTCGTACCACCTGTCCCGGCTGGATACTTCCCAAGAGTCGTACTGCCCCCAAGCGTTCTGATCCCAAGATTCCTCCTGCTCGTCCGTCTGCATTTCTGAATCCCTCGTTCGAACCTCGTCATCCGTCGGCATGCCGACGGCAGCACGCACACACCAGGGCACCAAGATTCAGGGCGCCACCGTTCTGAGAATAACTCGCCACCTCGGCAACAGGCCTCTCGTCAACCACGGGCTCCGCTTACCACTGTCACGGGTCAGGAAGGCTCTGGGAGACAGGAGGGACTGTGGTATGATAAACTTGTTTATCAGAAAGTTACGCTCGTCACCTCAGTGACTCCTCGGAGTCACGCACTAAGCCAAAATCGTTGCAAGCCACTGTCGAACACGAAGAGGGGAGAAGGGGGGACGAGAGGTAACCCCCGAGGGAAGCAAACGATGACAAAACAAGCCGAGAGGCCCCAAAGAGGACTCCAAGGTAGCCCAACAGGGTCCCAAGAGAGCCCCAAGAGGGCCCAGGGGTGCTCCACGAGGGGCCCAAGAGGGGGAAATTGAGCTGGCCTTAACAGCCTTTTCCTACAGCCAGGGTTGCCACCAAGACCCCCAACATGTCCCCAAGAGGCCCCCAAGACGTCCGAGAGGCTCAAGAGAACCCGAAGAGGACTCCCAGAGGCCCCCCATACAGACCACGAAAGACCCCCAAACGGACCTCCAAGGCTCCCGAAAGGTCCTCATGAGGCCTCAGAAAAGCTCCAACATGCGTCTGCAAATGAGCATACTTCACGCTGCGCTGCAGCGCTGACGCGGCGGCGGGGTTTGCCACAGGCAGCTGAAGAAATATCACAAAGGCACACAAAGGAGAAAGAGGGCGGGGAGAGATGCGGAGGAGAAAAGAGGAAGAAATGAGGAGATCCACCAAGACGATGAGGGCGCTGTCAAAGCCTAACGACACCTGCGCGCGGTGGTGGCTCAACTGCGCTTGCCGCGGTTTCAGCTTGCTTGCGCTTGCGATTCGCGATTCTCTGGCGCCTCCTGCGCTGCGCTAGGGACGCATGTCCTGGTTCCTGGGCGATAGTATCTTTCCTCCTCTGCTGCTTTGTCCTTCCCATCTTCTCAGGCTTCTCGAGGATCGTTCGACGGTCTTCTGGGGAGGCTGCCAGAAATGTCGCCAGGGCAGGAGCTGACTGGGAGCGTTGAAGCCGCTCCTGCCGCCAGCGCGTCTCGTCGCAGTCCACCACATGGATCACAGTCGACTTGACCACGATGTGCCAACGCGGCTCAGGCTGCCACACATCTGACTTGACAACGGCGGCAGAGAAGCCGCACGAGTCGCCAATCATCAGGGAGGCCAGGACCAAGGTCTATCCTGCTGACGTGCGGTGCGCGACCAAAAGCTTCGCAGGCGAACAAACTTGAGTCAAAGTGACTGCGGATCTTGGAGGCCTGACCCTTGAGGCCCGTCGGGGACCTTCTGAGGCGCAAATGGGGCCATCGATCAAAAAGGGCGGACCCTTCAATCGCGCTGCTCTTCTGGAGCCTGGACAACTTCCTCGTGTGGCGCTGCGGGAGCGCCTTTGGTGGCCGCCTCGGAGGCCGTCTGGATGGGGAGCAGAGAAGAGAAGAGACGTTGATGCAACATTTGGGGAGAGATCAGGGACGAGAGGTGAAGAGATGGCAAGACGAAAGACTGGGCGGAGAGAGGGAGGTCTGACGGGCTCGGCATCCTCTTCGGCTCCCGCCGCTCGCTCACCACCCGTCTGGGGCCTCTCTTGTTCGAAGACCCGGCCGCCCGCCGGACGGGCGCGAGGGCCCCAGCCCGAAGGGACGGGCAGCCCGCCCAGGGAGGGTCGAAAACCTCACAGACGGAGGCTTGACCTCAGCCCCCAGTGTGCCCTTTGGTTCCCTCCAGGACGAAAAGTGGACCTGCACAATACATGGCGGTGTCCGATCCTCTGGGTGGCCCGTGCACGCGAAGGGGGCACCTGCGGCAGGTTCGTGTCGTGACGACTGTAACTATACAGGAATCTGGCGGCGGAACCCGCCCCGCCAGGGGATCTGAAACCGCTTGCAAGCCGAAAGACTGCGGAGGGCCCCACCGTGGAGCAAGCAAGCCGCTTCAGAACGCAGCTCTTTACGCCTCAGGTATCCCTGCCAACCCATCCAGAAACGATGCCCACGGCACTGCGGTACCAAGGGCCAGTGAGGGTGGGAGCCAGAAGGATGCCTAGGAGCCTGTGTAGCCGCAATGGAAACGTGCGGGACACGGGCCCAGTGGTATCAAGACGAAGTAACGCAGAGCAGTGTAAAGCAAAGCAGGACAAGGACATGAATTCAAGGCAAAGCAAAGAATGCAACGCAACGCTGTTCACGAAATGACGCAAGGCAAATCATATTAATGCCTGCGCGCACCATCCCGTGGCCAAGGCGAAGAGACATAAAGACGAGATCCCACAGGAGCCCCGAAGCCTCCGAGAGCTTGATCCCTGCTCCGCCCTGCTGCCCTCCTTCCCCCCCCCTCCCCCTCCCCCTCCCCCTCGACCGCTAGACACGCAGTTGCGCGCTCGCTGATATCCGCTTCCTTTATGAGCGGCACCAGAACTAATTTTTCCAGGCGCAGTCGAAGGATCGACGGCCTGCCGCTGCTTCTCTAATTCGTGTCGTCTTCCATACCGTTTTCTCTTGCCCCTCCTCCTCTTCGCCCCCCCTCCCTCCGCTCCGGCGTTCGTCCCAGGCCTTAGATGTTGCTTCGCTTTTGTTTCGTTTCGGTCGCTCCTGCGCTTGCGCGCGTCCCGCCTTCCTCTGGTTTTGCTGCGTTGGGCTGCCTGTGTTCTCAGGGCCTGGCCTCCCTTCGTCGGGGAGGGTGGCGGAGTGTCTGAATAAGAGTGCTCCGCGGCTGATCGCCTTGGCCCCGAAGGGGGCGCGACGATGTGTACTGGCGTGGACGTGCGTTCCTCACGCGCCTGCCCCACTGGACACCCAGACAGACGCGCCTTGCGAGTTACGGGGACACAGCTCCCTGTGCGACGGGATTTCTTCAGGAACGGTGGTATAGCCAGGTAGTCAGTTTCCTCTCGGTGGGGACCACCGAGGAGGAGCAAGCAGACTGTTGGATGGTGGTTTTTAGTATCAGGGCCACGATCCGTCGTGCATTTTTTCACTGTGCCAGTGCAGGGTCTCTCTGTGGCGGCACTGTTGCCGCCGTGGTTCAAAGCAAGTGCGCCGCAGGACCCGACGAGGAGTCTGAAATTCCATTTGAAACAAACGAGTCCCAAGAAGAGCACGACAAAACTTCCGCATTTGCCAACATTGGTCATCTCAGGGAGGGCGGGTGGGCCCTATCTACGGTAATCCGCTACACACGATGCTACAACCAAACGCGAGACAAAAACTTTAGATCTCTCGCCGCGCGGGCGTTTGAAAAAGCCCGGGCCAAGTGGGAACACAACTCGAAGGGATACTTTTCAGCCTTTTTTGTGAGCTAGCCGCGGGCGCCATCGAAACCTGACAGAGTGAGATGGGGGCGGTGCGTGCGGCAGCACAATCGACCGGCACAGCGCCTCAACGTTGCTTAACTCAACGCGGTAGCCGAAGAAACGAGTCGGCTTCTTCCACTTTTCTATCAACATGCAGAAATAGGTGTCGACGGTCACTGCGCCTTACCACGATCGTGCTTTGAGCAAACGGGGCAGCATCCAAATTCGAGAGGTATCTGGATTTTCCATCGTGGCAGGCAGCTGCTGGTGCTTCATCTGTTCGAGGAGACTGATACTGAATCTGGCCACCTCGTTTCCAATCCACACTGATCTTTTATCATCTGGATGGAGCAGATTCGGAAGCCCGAAAAGGTGTTCGTCGCTGCGAAGCCGCGAGGGACGGGCCGAGCCGTGGATGCTCGGGGTCGCGGATCGGCCCCCGATCTCTCGCACGCGACCACGCGCTGCAAGGAGTTGCCACATGCAGTCCCCGCACGCGGCCTGCCGCTATCCACCCGCGGATGAGCTGCTGGTTGGTGCGAAGCATAAGGTCCCAATCATCACCGCGCAGCACATCCCATTCGAGGACAAGGTAGCCAAGCCGGCGCAGAGCGGCGGCGAGCTCCCCGCAGCCGCTGAGATTTCTTAATAGATCTGCGGTCGCACGCGCCCTGAACTCCTGGCGGGAACAAGGCTCTCGAAGGCTTCGCGAGGAGTGGGCCCAGCTCGCTCACTGCCGCCAGCGCGCGGCTTCGCGCGTCTGCCGGCAGCCGGCCAGGCTGCTCCGCCACGCGGCCCTCCTTGCGGCAACGCTGGACGGATGCGTCTGACATCCAGCGGCCTCGCAGCTTTGTCTTGCGCAGCGTCCTCTGACCCGCGGCCCGGTCGAACGCGGGGCCGCTGCGGCGCAGCATGCACAGCCCGGGCCGCAGGGCATCCACGCCGCAGGCTTCGGCCGCGGCTCGGAAGCGGTCGACCAGCTGCGCCTGGGAGAAGGCGAACAGCGGCTGCCCATGGGGCGTCGCCGGCCGCAGCCAGCGCAGCGCGGGGCCCAGCAGCACCTTGAAGTCGGCTCTGTCGATCACCACGGACTCGTCGAACTGGCGAGTATTGCTGGTGACCGCGGCCTCGAAGGGGCGCAGCACAAAGGACCAATTCCGACACCTGCTTCCTGGCATCGGCGGGGCGGCCACCTCGCGAATGATCCTGAAACCCTCCGCGGGCCTCAGGCAGCAGCGAAACGCGAGGAGGACCACCACTGCCGCCGCTCAGAAGCCGTCGCGCACCAGCTGCGTCGCCAGGAGGGCGACCACCTCCCAAGGCAAGGGGAGGCGCGTCCTGCCCAGCGCCGGCCGCCTCCAGCCTCTCAAAGCCTGGACGGCCTTTGGTAGCCCCCCCGCGCCGCCGCGCCCGAACTCGGGGAGGTGGAACTTCGCGACGGCCAGCATCGGCGACCCCGGGTGGGCGGGCTCGCCGCCGAGGTACTCGGCGTCCATCCACAGGGTCAGCCAGTCGTCGAGGAGCTCCACCAGCGGCGCCGACGCCAGCACGCGGCGGCGCAACGCGACGGCCTCGGCCTCCAGCGAGTCGGCCCGCCAGACCTCGAACCGGCGCCACGCCGCCCGGTAGGTCGCCAGCGTCTTCGGCGTCACCGACCTCTCCTGCAGGCGCGACCTCCCCGGCGGCGGTGCCTCGCGGGCCCTCTCGGCGGCCCGGCGCCTCCTCGCTCGGACCTGTCGACCCGCGTGCTCGGGCAGCGGCCGCGGCTCCGCTTGACTCGAGCTCAGCTTCCGCCGCTTCGCCGGCGCGCCCCTCGCCAACGCTGCCGACGCCCCCTGGGGGCAAGGAGCCCCGCGCCCTCGAGACAGCGGGGGGCCGGCGGCGTCGCGTGGCACGACCTGCGAGGGGACTGAGGCCAGCGTCGAGCTCTGCGACCTCGCAAGCGACCTGGCGGCAGTCACGGCGGTGGCTAGCCTCTCGTCCGCCACGTTCGGGCCAACGATCGATCTCGGGAGCCTTCGCGTCACAGGCGAAGTCCAGCCAGACCCCGATGGGGATGTCCCGCCGCGAGGGGGCATCGGCAGGTCTGCGTTCCGATGGCAGCAAGCGCAGCGCCGGCGCCACACGCCCTGCGAGGCACCATGCCGCCCACTGCCGCGAGACCCGCAGCAGCCCGCGGAACGAGGAGCGGCCCTTCGTCAGAGCCAGAACCGACGAGAGTGCATCAGTCTGGAAAAGGACCCTCTTCCCGAACGCCCGTGAATCCCGGAGCGCGCGACGAGTGGCATGCACCAGGGCCCGCCCCTCATGGACCACGATGTGCTCAGGTCGGGCCCAGCCTCCACTAGACACCACCTGACAACGCCCGTTGAGAACCTCCCGGGACACCTCCTGAACGCCTGGGGCCACGACCCCCATGTCGACGACGGGCGCCTCAAGAGCCTCGGGGGGCCTCTCCAGCGCGGACACGACACCTTCACCTCCACCGCCTCCTTCCTGCAGACAATCTCGAAGCCGAACTGGCCCTCCGCGATCATCTCGAGCCCGAAACCGCCAGCGATCGCTCTCGCCCCCCATCTCTCTAACCCTGTCAGTCGATATTTCTTTCTGTACAACGCCCCGACCCTGCTCACTGGCATCGGTAGCATACACCCTCGAGCCCCACCCAGCGCGGAGGCCAGCCCGAAGCAGCGACAACAAACTGACGGCCCAACGAAGTTCTCGTCGGACTCCCTCCAACAGCGGCTTGGAGACGCCACGATACTTGGATGCGAAACGATACACAGCATCGAAGACAGACAAGAACTGACGACAGGCGAGGCCCGCAAAGGCGAAGTGTCCTACGACCTTACTGATATGGCGGCCCGTGGCCCTGCCCTCTTCAAGTAAAGCTAGCGCGCCTACTCTCAGACGCCAGAGCCTCCTAGACCTGGGCCGCACGGCCCCCTCCACGCCCTCGAAGACCCAACCCAGACTCTCATAGGACCGAGAGGCCTCGTCGAGAGGGTGCAAGGGGAGCCCAGCGGCAGTCAAAGACTCCGCGGCCCTCGAGAGAAGCTCGCTGGCCCTCTCGGCGGAAGTGGCCAAGCCCAAGAAGTCATCGACGCACTGCCAATGCACGCCCTGAGAAATCAGAGGGACGACTCGCCCATCGACTAAACGCTCAACATCACCGAGCCCGGCGCGCTCTCTCAAAACCCCTTCGTACAATCCTTGGCAAAAAGCTAAAGCACGAGACCAACCCATCGGCAAAACGGCAAAGCGACGTCTCAACCACTCACGCGGTCCAACAGGCTGCCCCTCCAGAGACGAAACTCAAATATCCCCCGCCCTCACACACGGGAGCAAGAAGAAGGGCGGAGACAGACGGGGGGACCCACGTTGTAAAAGGCATCGCATATGTCTACACCTTTGACCCACAGATCCCCCCGTCGGGGAGCTCTATCGCCGACAAGTTGGCTCCTGAGGCTAGCGCAACATGCTCGGGCTCCTCGAAATGAAAGTTACTGGCCCTGCAGTCAACCACAAGACGCCGCCTGCCATCTGTTTTCCAAACCGTGAACACCCCAACCTCTTCTCGAGCTGCGACCGCGTCATGGACTAGGTCTAGCATCCCCGCCTCCAGCATCCCGCGCGCTGGGCTCGAGCGGATGGCCCACGGAGAGCGGGATCGAGATGAGGCCTCGGGAACTCTGCTTCCGCCTTCCGCCCCTCAGCAAGTCGACTCGGCAAAACCTTGCTGCCGAGAAAAACTTCGAGCAGGCGCGGGCCGTCCCGCCCCGACAGCTCCTCCAGAGGGCGCGGCCGTGCACCCGCCTTTGGCAGCGAGACGAGGTCAAAACTCAGAGGCGCCAGCGTCAGGGACTCGTCCGCCCCGTACGCCGAGCTGACCTGCAGCCCCCGCAGGGCAGCGTCGGCCGCAAGGACAGGCGGGGGCGCTCTGAACCGCGCGCAGCAGTCTGACAAGTGATCCAGCGCCAGCCCCTGCACTCGACAGGGCTTGTCCAGAGGCCGCCGAAACAGATCATCCTCTCCAGCGTGCATCTGATTCAGTGCCTGAATCAACTCGCGAAGCAGCCCCGCCGGGCGAGCCCGCCCGGCAGCTCGCCCGCGGCCGCGACGCCCGAGAGGGCGGCCAGCGTCCGCGAGGCACCAGACTGGCAGCGGCAGCGGCAGCAGCGACCGGTTACGATCCAGCTGGCCCGCCGCCTCCCCCCCTCCCACATGGCCGCATGGGTGGGGGGCCCCAGGCGGCGCGCGCTGCATCATGATTTCGCGGGTCGAGCGCCGCCCTTCTTGGCCAAGGCAGCCTGCTCCTCCCTGAGCTTCCTCGCGTTCTTGTTGATGCCTGCAATGCGCCTCCAACTCCTTCGCCACCTGATCCAGCAAGTCAGGACAGACCATGCTGGGCGCGCGCCCTCCGCCAAGGAAGGCCTGCACCTCGTCGAGCGGCAGCTTGCCATTCGTGCTGTGCTGCTCCTGCCGCCGCTCGTCCCCATAGCACTCGATCATCTGCATCTTCCAGTAGGCCACCTCCACCCCCGCCAAGTTATAGATATCGAGCTGGTCGACGGCACCGAGGGTCTCCACTATCTTGCTCAGCGATTCGTGCTCCGCGACCCCGAAATCCGAGCCCTGGAGACAGCGGCAACCATTCCATATCTCCGAGTGCAGCACCGGTCTGCCATCCTCCTGCTGGTACGCCGAGCAACCACTTGGCCGACCGCGGCGGCTTCACGCCTAAGTCGGGGATCTGTTCCTCGGCGCAGTCGTTCACCACGGAAGTCCAGGGGCGCTCGCGGCCGACCGCCGTGCGCACCACTGGCAGGCTGCGGGCGTCGCTCCCTCGGAACTCTCGCTTCAGCTGGGCGACCTCCGAGTCGGCCACCAGCGCCGCGAAGACCGAGTGGCCACTCGGCAGCGTCACCACCTGTCGCCGCCCCGTGCCACCAGCCAGCGAAGGCCCGCCAGGGCTGCCCACCTCCAGCATGTCGCCGTAGACGGCCAGGCCCTCGAGGTCCTCCAACGCCCGCCAGCTCCAGCCCAAAGGCGCGAGGCCCGTCGCGGGCACCACGATAGGCGGACCGTCGGGGAGGGCGAGGGGGCGTGCTGCCGCCGGCGGCCCCGCGGCGGGCGCGGCGGGCGCGGGGGGCGGCGCGGCCGTGGGCGCCAGCCCTCCACCCGCGGGGCCAGGCGCGCCATGGGCGGCCACTGCCGCGGGAGAAGCCCTGGCGGAGGCAGGCAAGGGCGGCACGCCCGCAGCCACAAGCGGTCCGCCTGCGGCAACCCCGCCAGCAGCGCCAGCCGCCAGCAGCCAGCACGCCAGGGATCGCGGCCAGCGGCACGAACGCATCAGCGGGCACCGGCGCGCCAGGGCTTCCTGCAACCCGATCCGCCTCGGACCAGAGTCGCCCTGCCTCCACTCGAGCAGCTCCCTGCATCGCCGCCAGCTCCAGGCCCGTGAGGTCATCACGGAAACGGTTCACCTGCGCCCTCGGTACCCCAGCAGGGGGCGGCCACCGCGCCGGCGAGAAGACCACCCTCACGATGTCCGTCCCCATCGAGCTCGGACGATAGTCCTCCTCGTACACGTCCAGGTCGGGCGTGCCGATGAGGACCGCGTCCAGCTCAGTCGCCGAGCACTCCGAGCGCCGGCACCCGACCACCTGGCGCTGGTGGTACACGGGCGGCCCCGGCACCGCGTAGAGCACGAATGCCCACTCCTGCAGCTCGGCCGCCTGCAGCGGAACCACCGCCTGCGCTGCCGCCATCCACCTCGGGCTCTTCGAAGTCGCAGCCTCCTCGAGCCCCGCGCCGCGGGCACGCACCAAGGCACCAGGCGGCGGCCGCGCAACCCGCCAAGCCCACGCCGAAGCCCGCCAAGGCTGCCGCCCACTGCACCTCCGGGCCGCTCAAGTTCGGCCGGCCCGGCGACGGCGGCGCGCCCGGGCACGCGGGGCAGGGCGGCAGCTCGGGACAAGGAGGAGCCGCGGGGCAGGAGGGCACCTCGGGGCAGCGGCTCGCGTGGAAGAGCGACGCCAGTCCCGCCCAACGCAGAGCCTCCTGCGCGAGGAACTCCGCCAGGCCCGCCAGCATCAACAAGCGGACTGCCCGAGGTAGCCAGAACTTCAGCACAAGCTCTCGAGCTTAAATGGACACGGATCGTGGCCACTCTCTGTTGCTCTGCTGCATTTATCAGTAAAACAAGGACCGAACAATGCAAAGCAAGGCAAAGAAGCCCAAAGGGAAGAAAGGCCAAACAACGCAATGCGCTGCAGCAAAATGCAAAGCAATGCAAGGCGCTGAAGAGCAAAACGACACAGAGCAAAGCAGGCCGCGCAGAGCAGTGGGGCGTGAAGCAGTTCAGGGCCAGGCACGAAAGCAGAGCAATGAGAAGGGGGGCTCCCAGAGGAACCAGGGGGCAATCCCAAAAACAGATCATCAAAGGCCGGAGCGCCACAGGCGCTCCCCGAGGGGCGATCAACCGGGGTCCCACCAGCGGTCCGGCTGCACAAATCATCACTGAGGACCCAAGAGTCTGGGAATCTTCCAGATCTCGGGCCTCCCCCACTCCCCACCTTCTTCACACTCCACCCACTCCCCGCAAATGGTGCTGTGGGCTTTCAGAGACAAGGATGCCGCCACACAACTGTGACGCGCGGCTCGCATTGGCGCCCCCCTTTGCAGCACAGCTCGGGGAATGCCAGCCCATCTTCGGCACATGCGCCAACCATGCCCCCAGGGGTGCGCCAGGCTCCACCATGGAGGGACCTCTCATAAAAATCTGGGGGCCCCCTTCGCTAGGTGGAAGAGGAACTGACGACTGGACAGGCTTCGGGAGGCGGGTATGTTGAGGCTCCTTCCGCGGGCGCCCCCCACATGTCGCTTGCCACCGCAGGAAGAGCAATGATGGAGCCCATGGCTGATGCGCTGGCGGGGCCTCGCTTCCCCCTAGCCCCTGGGATACCGATCTGCTGGATGGGGGGGGAATTCGTTCCTTTTCTGTGGCGGTTTTGGTTTCTGCCCAGACATAGCACCAGAGGACGATTAGCCCAGTTTTGCCGCGGCCAGGAGAACCGGCCTCGAGTCTGTGGATGGCCAGATGTTCTTGGATATCGGCTTTTCTTCCCTCCCCTCCCCCGGCGAGAACCATCAAAGGCCTCTGCCCCTCCGGTGGTGACCATCAGTCATAGGCTACACCACTCGGCAGCTGCCATCACAGACCAATCCGCCATGCCGCCAATAGGCACCGGAGGGGGGCGAGGCCCTCCCAACGGTCCCTCGGCCAACGAAGACGGCCGTAGGGAGGGGTGCCAACGTACCTCCACAGCTCTGACCTTCATACCTGAAGGCGCCAATTGCCACCATCCAGTGTTCCCCCCCACACGTCTCCTCCCCTTCTCCCTCTCCCCCCTTCTGCCCCCCATCGGCCCCCTGTCCCCCTCCCTCCTTTCTCCTCCCCCCTCGTCCTCCTCTCTCGCCCCCGTTTCCCTCCCCTCGGCTCCGGCAGAGTTCGGGCCCGCTCCCCGACAGAAGACTGGTCCTGCCCCAAGCTTCGGCAGGCGAAGGCGCGCAGCGACAGTCCACGGGGCGACAGCACCAGCGCACGGCGGGGCGACTCTTTCACAGGCTCCGCCAGATCTCACGTCGCATCGGCCCCCGGGAGGTTGCGGGTGGTCTGAGCTCGGCCCAGCGCCGGGAGCGACGGCCGCCAGCTCCTCCTCGAGCACCTCGAAGACAGCGCCAAAGTAGCGAGACCAGAACGCCTCAGTGCGCGAGAGGGGCGGCGCGCGAAGAGCGCGGGAGAGTGGCAGTGGACGACCACGGGCAGGGTCTGGAGCGCCCGCTGTTCCCTTCCACTGTCCCCTCCCACTGTCCCCTCCACTGTCCCCTCCACTGCCCCCTCCCCAGGACGCAGCGACAACGCCAAGCGAGCATCGGGCAACATCGGATCATCGGAACATCGGAGAGAACGCGTTTCACGGGCGCTTGCCTTGGGAACACTCGGCGCCGTCGATGAAAACCGAGGGACTCCCCTCCCCCCGCCCCCCCCCCCTCCCGAACCGCCCCCCCTTCCTCCCAAAGGGGGGGGGGCGGGGGTTTGAACCCCACCCCCCCTTCTCGGGGCTGGCGCCAGCGGCCGCCAGCTGCGCCGACGGCGGGCACGCAGCGACGATGACCAAAGGGGAGGGGGGGTTCAAACCACTCCCCCCCCTTGCGCTGAGAGGGGGGGGGTTCAAACGTTCCCCCCATTGGCGCCAGCGCCAGCGCCGGCGCTGGCGCCGGCGGGGACGCAGCAACGATAACCACCACTACCACCACCACCACCACCACCACAACCACCACCACTACCACCACCACCACCGCCTCAACCCACCACCACCACCAAAAAACCCAAAACACACCCACCACCACCACTAGCAACCACCACCACAACAACCACCACCACCCACCACAACCCACCATCACCACCACCACCACCACAAAAACCCACCACCACCACCACCGCCACCACAATCTACCACGCCACCACCACCACCACCGCCACAACCACCACCAATACCACCAGCACAAATCACCACCACCACCACCACAAACCACCATCACCACCACCACCACCACCGCACCACCACCGCCACCACGTCCACAAACCACCGCCACCACCACAACCCACCACCACCACCACCAAACCACCACCACCACCACCCACCACCACAACCACCACCACACCACCACCACCACCACCACCACCACACCACCACCAACCACCAAAACCACCCACCACCACCACCACACCACCACCCACCTCCACAACCACCACCACCACCACAACAAACCACCACACCACCACCACAACCACCACCACCGCCACCACCACCACCACAACCCACCACCACCACTACCACGGTCGTCCTCGTCGACGCTCCCCGCCACCGCCGCCCGCAGCCGCCGGCGCTGGCGCTTGCCAAGAAAACGAAATCGTCGTCCCCGCCGCCGCCGCCAGCCGCCGCCACCTCCAGCCGCCGCCGCCGCCAAAAGGGGGGAGGGGGGGGGGTTCGAACGCCCCCCCCCTCCGTCACGGGAGGGGGGGGTTCGACTCCCCCGCTTCCATTCAATGGGGTGGGGGGGTCGGGTTCCAAACCCCACCCATTACCAAGCGACCACAGAACGCGCTCTACCGAAGATCGGAGTCGAAACCGACCCGGCCGCCAGAATCGACATCGAACCTATCGAACCAGACCAGATCGGATCGAAGCGGCTTGCGGGCCCCAGCGGCGGCGGCTGGGGCGAGGCCTCCTCCGACAGGCGCCCAGGCACCAGCCGGTAGCGTGTCTGGCGCAGATCTGGCAGCTGTTCCAGCAGGGCCTCGGTCCAGGCCAGCGTGACCTTCGAGGGGGAAGGGCGTTCCACGCCGCGTTGCCATGAGAAGCGCCAGATACGGAGCGGAGCGCTTCTCCTCTGGCCACGGCGAGCCTCGGCCACGAACGCAAGAGCCCCTCAGGAGCCCGTCCCAAAACCGCATGGCTCAGCACGGCGAACAACTGGCGCGGTCAAAAGATCGACGCAGGCAGAGGGCCAACACCACCGCACCAGGCGCGAAAGTGATCGCGCCTGTGGAGCGCGGGCTGGTTCTTTCCTCCGTCCTTTTGCTTCCCGCCCCCCGCCCTCTCCAAACAGCACGAAAAGGAAAGAGAGCTGATGGAAAAGAGACGGCGACGAAGAGGGGAGGGACGGGGTGTGGGATCAGGGGCGGGCGAAGAAAGAAGGGAGGGGAGAAGCGAAAGAAAGGGGATGAATGCGAAAAGGGGAAGAACAAGGTAGGAGGAGGCAACGGAAAAAAAATGCAGATGAGATGGGGAGGCGCGAACGAATTAGCCCCTCAGCTTGTCAACCATATATCTGGCAACCTGACAACAGTCTGTACGACCTACAAACTTAACAATCCATCGAGACAGCCAACCGACCAGACGATTTGCCAGCATGCAAACCGACCAGCCAATCAGCCAACCATGCTAATCAACGCAAGGGCCTGCAGCAGAGGACTCAGCAGTGAGAAGCGCAGGTCAGGGGGGTGCAAGCCGAGACCCTGCGTAGGATGACATCCTAGACGTATCACTGTATCCCATAGCTCCTCCCACAATGTAGAACAGGGTGATAAACGAGTGGCAAGGTATGAGATGAGAGGATGCACCGTCGAAGGATGTGGACGTCTCGTTTATCCGTTGTTCTGGCCCGACAGCACCTAGCTGTCGGGAAGAAGTCAAATAGGACAGCGCTGTCTTGAGCCAGACAACGGCGGACGTGGACAAGACGCTCGCTCCTTCAAAAAACAAGAGGGGATGAGGAGCCGAGCGTCAAGCCACGATAAAAACTTGGTAATATTGTATATAACAGCAAGGTAAAAAATAGAGGAGGGCAATCACTCTATGAAGGCCCAACCAAAACAATAACAAAGTACAAGGCAACCAGAACCAGCCAAGGGACAATTCTCCACGGCCGGAAGCGGTATTGCGGCTGGTCGTGGGAAGCCTCCGCACACGACCACCCACTATTGAAAAAGGAATTGGCCCACTGCTTCGAGCTGTGGGCCAGCCCAAATTGAGGAGGATGCCTAAACAAACAAACCTTCAGGCATCAAAACGTGCAACGCAAATGAACGCCCGCGTCTGGGCAGATACTCACAGATGGCCCGTGGCCGGGCAAACGCAGACTGCGATTCAGCTGCGCGTGCGTAATACCCGCTTGCACTGACTAGGCGGGGCTATGTAGGTAATGCTCTGTTCCCTGTGTTGTGTACTGCTTTACCTCATACTTGAATGACTGTATGCCTACCATTCCTTGCAGTAGTAGTTCCAATCCTCCTCCTAATTCCAATCCTCCTCATCCTCCTCCTCCTCCTCCTCCTCCTCCTCCTCCTCCTCCGCCTCCTCCGCCTCCTCCGCCTCCTCCTCCGCCTCCTCCTACTGCTCCTCCTCCTCCTCCTCCTCCTCGTCCTCCTCCTCTTCCGCCTCCTTTGCCTCCTGCCTTCTTCCCTCAATGGTCCCTCTCAAGGGTTTCCACAACGGCTCTGGGAACACATAGTCCAAAATCTTGGCCAGACTTTGGCCCACCGTTTAGTCACACAGGCGCTTCCGAAAGGCAGGGATCGGTGGTGGTTCGCCGTAGGCGTCTTCGATCCGCCGCCTCCGTAGCCTGCCGCAGGGGTACACGGCACGCTGGATTGGTGAGTGCCGTTCGGCCCTTAGGTTACCAATGGCCTCCGGCCCAAACCGCCACCTACCCGGGAAACCAGCGCAAGGACTGTCATGCCCAGAAAGATCGTTCCCAGGAAGGCCATGGAAGCACAAGTTGGCCTCCAAGGTGGCCCAAGACGGCACAATATGGTCTCCAACACGACCCAAGACGTTTCCGAGACGGCCAAGAAGGCCCCAAAATTTCCCAAGAGACCCCTACGACCTCCAAGACGCCCTTGGAGGCCTCCAAGAAGACCCTCAAGGAGGCGCCAAAAGGCATCAATCTTTGATAATTTTCTGGTGTTGCACTGATTTCGGGATTCTCACCCTCGAGGACTTTTTAAAGCCTCGCACGGCCCACGGGGCCTCCGAGATGGCCCCAAGACGGTTCAAGACGCCCCAAGAAGGCCCCCCGAAAGTCCAAGATCCAAGACGGCCAAGACGGCCTGTATGGCCTCCAAGACGGTCATGATGGCCCCAGAAGTCTCAAGACGACGAGAGGTGGCTCCCAGATAGACCCAGATGGCCCCAAGAGACCACCCAGAGTCCACCAACAGGCCCCCAGCAGGCCCCAAGAGGCACTTAAGAGGCCTCCTCTTCCTCCTCCTCCTCCTCCTCCTCCTCCTCCTCCTCCTCCTCCTCCTCCTCCTCCCCCTCCTTTTCCTCCTCCTTTTTCTTTTTCCTCCTCCTCCTCCTCCTCCTCCTCCTCCTCTTCCTCCTCCTCCTCGTCCTCATGTTTCTTCTCCTGCATGTTTGCCTTTCCCGCCACGGCGGCACCTCGCCGCTCCAGGGCGCGGAGGGCCGCGGCACGGGAATCCTCGGCCCCAGGAGAGAAACAACTGTTCCAATCGAGACGGTTTTCTTGCTCAAAATACACGGAAGGAAAAGGGGGGACCGAGGAAAACAGAGTGGACTGGGCCGCCCTCATGCTCGGCGACCTGATGGGCCGCGCTTTATCGCTGTCTCCACGCGGGCTCATGGCGCCGCCCCGCCCTCCTCGAGCCTGTGGTCGGCCACCACGCCAGCGCCCCCCGCTCCCTCCGGCCAGCGCGAAGTGCTCGGCGTCGCCCGTGGCGCCAGGCAGCTGCCCTCCGCCTCCAGCAGCCCCGCCACCGCGGAGGGCTCCACGTAGCTCCACTCGCTGGGCTCTGTGTCGCACTGGCCGCCAGGCGCCGCGCCAGGCGCCAGCGCGAGAAGCTCGGCGTCGTCCAGCGCGAGGAGCTCGACGTCATCTAGCGCGAGGAGCCGTTCAAGGTCCAGCGCGTAGCGCGGCTGCTCGGCGCCCGACCCTGAAGTCGTCGTGACCCATGGCGTCCGCGCTACAGCTCAAGTAATGAACCAGTGGGACGTAGAAGTCCATGTAGCGCTGCTTTTCCTTGTCCTCTCAACTGGGCCACGGCGCGCCCTGGGCCGTCAGACCCCCCAACGGGAGTAGATCGCCGCGGCCGTGGCTCTGCAGAGCGAGGGCGGGTGCTCCTTCAGCGGTGCCGTCGACAGTCACCAGCGCCGCCCCTGCCGCAGGCTCCGCTGTGCCCGCGACGACGGCACCGGGCCCCTCCGGGGCGCGCCTCCAGCCCCCGTCGCAACTCGGGCAGGTTGATGGCCAGGGGCCGCGTGGGCTTCTAAGCCGCCTGTCTCACCTCGGCGCCCAGCTGGCCGGCTAGCCAGAGGAGCTCCCGTTGACGCCAGCTCGACGGCGCCTGCGGGCATCAGGGCGCCGGGGCGGGGTGTTCCAAGATGGCAGCGACCTGCAGCCGCAAGCCCAGCGCAGTCATGCATGTTTGCATACGGAATTTCTCAGTGCGCGCGCAGATAGGGCCGCGAATATAAAATCCGCCCTCGGGCCTCGGCGGGACAGAGGGAGGTGGAACAGCGAGGAGCGCGGTCAAAGCTGCGAGAGTAGAACCGGCAACATTTTGTCTTACATATATGGGCTCAAACTACTCTTCAGGCGACCTCCTCTCCCACTCGCGCGCCGCCCCAGCGGGCGGCCATTCCAACCGCGAAGCTCTCGCGTCTCGCCGCGCGCGTGCTGGGGGCCTCGCTGGCGCGGGAGGATGACTTGGAGAACTGGGTGGACTTCGCCGCCCAGGAGTTCTCAGCCTACCACAGGGACGAGCAGAGCTTCGAGGAAGTTGAGGAGGCGGAGTGCGAGGAGCCCTCTAGTGAGCAGGACACTGAGGTCTCCCCGCCGATGCCACCGCAGTAATGGAGCAGAGTGTATTATCGACCAAGGGTCGACGACAAGAAAGGCCTCATCACGCTGCTGGTGACGAGGTTCACGACGATGTCAGGCGAGCGCCGCTGGGTGGCCATCGACCCGGCGGGCAGGCCAGGCCCCAAGTCATCGACCTGGCAATGACGGCGAAGGTTCGGCCCACCAAATTCGCAGGCGTGGATCACGGGGCTTTCCCGGGCATGTCGGCTCGCGAGAAGGCCATGGCGGTGGAAGCGGCGGATCGAGTGATAGCATCGGGAAGCACGGCGACGACTTCCACGATCATCCGCGACTTCAGTCGGAAGAGCCTGCCTGGCGAGAAGACCCATCGTCGCCACCTCGCGACGTGGCTGACGAAGCTAGCGAGCAACGTCGTGGGCTACGCGTGGCATCGACGGAGCTTGGGAGGCTTCGCGGGATCTACCTTCGCGTAGTGGCGCGCGCGCCTACTTCAACGCGGCGGGGTGGATGAAGAGGGCGCACAGCATCGCCATGGAGACGGTGGAGACGGTGGAGGGCCTCAGGGAGGAGCACAAGCAACTGGTGGAGATGCACGAGTCGGGAGTGCAGGAGCCGCTGTACATGTCTGTGGGCATCATGTTCGCGATTGGCGCGACGGGCTCGCGCTGCCGCGGACGGCGTTTACGGCACTCGGATCGGACCATGGAGATCGAGACAGGGTCCTCGTGGCAGTTGATGCTGCCTTGGTCTGGGAGCCCTTCGCCAGATTCCTTTGGGGCTTCGACGCCTCGCGACGAAGGCGTCGCGATGTCCGACGGCGAGGAGGAGGGGCCCTGGGAGCACGAGATGATCAGGCAGCCGAGCGCAGTCGCCGACTGGCTGGTAGCGCCGGAGACCAAGAGCGCGGCTTCGCCATCAGCGGTGCCGACAGCGGTGGAGTCTCCGAGCAAGCCGTCGGGATCTCTCAGCGGCAGCGTGGAGCTCGGCGAGGGCTCTCAGCACGACCAGATGATGTCTCGCCTCCTTGACCGCTTGGACCGGCACAAGGAGATCGCGCAGAGCGACAGCTTGGCAGCGACAGCAGGATCACCGACGGCAGCGCCCGAGGCGTCGGTCCAGCATCCCGAAGTGGAGGCCCTGGTGCGAGGCTTGGACGACTCGTTCAAGGACGTGCGCGTGATGGCCAAGGAGAAACTGAACGCGTTCTCCCCAAGCGTGAGCTGGACGATCCCAAGCGGCATCAAGACACCAGTCGCTCCCTCGATGGCGGCGAAGCGGCACAAGAACAGGTCGACCGTCGTGTCGGCCATCCGCGAGATGACTCGCCTCAAGCAACTGGACGGCAACCACATGGCGGAGGAGATGCTGCTGATGGGCACGATGATCGACAGATCCATGATCGAGGCGCCAGCGGACTGGATCAACTACAAGACGACCGAGCTCGCCATGTGGAGGATGCACGGGATCGAGCGGGCGTTCGAGCACGCGAAGCAGAGGAGCGACTGGAAGCCCCCGAATGGCGCAAAGCAGGAGTGGAAGTCGGAGTCAACTCTTATGTGCCGGAGGAGCTCGACGCAAGCAGAAGCGATCATGAGGGCCTGCTCATCGACGGGGTGGAGAAGGAGCTTCGAGAGAGGCTGGCCCACCGCGCCCCGCTGGCAAAACCCCTCGACAAGATGAACGACGAAACGAACACGGCCCCCAAGAAAGACGACTAGCAAGCGACAGGAAGCTAAAGTCCAGGCGCCGGGCCCAGGCCGGGCGCGCCCCTGCTGCTGCCGCGGCCTTGGCAGCAGCTCACTTCACCCACGTGCGCAGCAGCATTATTTCTAATTTCTCATCATGATGAAAGCGGAGTGCGAGTTCCCGTCCGATGGTCGAATCAGGGACCCGTTGGAAGCGCTGCCGCTCCTCAGCCTTCCCGAGCCTACGGCGTCGGCTTCGGGGCAATCGAGGTCTCGGACGGCCCAGGAGAAGGCGGTCAGAGGCAGGGCGAACGCGGCTGCGAGGTCCTCGACGGCGTTGACGACTGGTTGCCACGACCGACTTCGAGACACGGAATGGGGCAGCGCAAATGAGTGGGCGATGAGCCACGAGCTGCCACGGAGGATCTCTGAGAGGGTGCTGCAGCGCCACCGAAAGGCCCAAGACCTGAGGATGCACGCCTCCGACGACGAGTCCGCTTTCGAGCGGCTGGCCTTGCGAAGACTGGGCATGCGGCTATACCTGCATCGAACGACGACGAGGGAGCGCCGGATCTACGAGAAGATGGCCCTGCCGCCGAGACAGGTGGACGAGACGGACATCGCGAACACACGCGCCTACACCGACCCGAGCATACGTCACACGCTTCCGAAAGCCCCCCCACCTCAACCTCGGGCCACCGACGGCGATGGCGGAGCTCGACCTGTCAGACGAGATTGCGCGGGGCAGGGCGTTGAAGTCGACGTGGGGGGGGCGCGCCTGATTTCTTCCGCAGGTGCGAGAGCTGTTCGGAACTCTGGCCCCACACGCCTTTCGGAGGAGCGTCGATCGATCAACTGTTGAAGGAGATGAAGAGAAGAAGCATGAAGGTTCCGAGCGTGCCGAGAGGAAGCCGATACCTGCGCCTAACCGTGATGCTCATGAGCTTCGGTTGGTCTCCAGCGATCTGCCACGGAGCGCTGGAAAACATAATATGCAACCTGCACGGCCCCCCGAGTCGCGGCCAGCTCGCGCACGGCCTGGTGCCCCCCAGCTTCGCGGAGGTGGCCTTCATCTACTGGGTCTCCATGGACGAGTTTGCCTCCTTGGCTCTGGTGAGCGAGGACGAGTCTACGATCATGGCCACGGTGAAGGAGATCGCCCGCCCGAGGCTCACAGAGGTCGGGCTGGACATGCACATGGACGGGCCAGGGGACGCGATTCCCCTCTCCCTCGGGGCGACGATCGCCGAGAAGCCCCACCGACTGACGGCCGCAGGGGACAAGGTTCGGAACGTGATCGGAGCGACTAGAGCCCTGCTGGCCCGAGGGCACGCGACGTCCCAGGAGCTGTCGCGGACAGTAGGCTCTTGGGTCTGGTCAGCGATGCGCTGCCGCTCCGCCTTCTGCCCGCTGGACTCGCGCTACACGTTCGCGACGAAGTACGGCGGGGATCAAGGGCGGCACGAGCTGTGGGAGAGCGCCCTGAACGAGCTCCACATGCTGTACCACCTAGCCCCCTTTGATGCACACGCACCTGGAGGCTCAGTGGAGCGAGACGGCGTTCGCCGCGGACGCGAGCGAGACAGGCCTGGGCGCAGCGGAGATCGAAGCGTCGTGGGCCGAGGTGAAGGCGGAGGTCGACAGGCAGCGGAGGATCCAGCAGCTGCGCGACATGGCGAGGGACGACGAGGAGGAGGAGATGCTGAGCGGCGACGCGCTGGAGTGCTTAAAGCGAAGTTTCCCTCAGGTGACTGGCGAGAGCGAGGTGCCGCCCCAGCGATGGATGGCCGACGTGTTCGCAGGCTACGGCGGCTTCGGCGGGAAGGTGCGGAGCGAGCGCCAGTGCGAGACCCCGTTCGTGGACAGTGCTCTGGACCCACGGCGCGACCTGATGGACCCATCCTTCGTCGAAGTCGTGTGCCAAGCCATCCTGAACGGGCTGTTCTTCCTAGTTCACATGGCGCCTCCGTGCTCGTCGTTCTCTCGGGCGCGCCAGCCTGCCGCCCGAGCCCCTGGACGCTGGGTCCAGGGGCCCCTGCCTCATCGCCTCAGCAGGCGCGAAGGGTCCGAGAAGGGAACGCTCTGGCGCAGGCGGCGATCTCCATGCGCGTCGCGCGCATGGCAGCAAGCGCGGGCTTCTCCCCCGAGAACCCCGGGGCGCCCTTGATCTGGGGCCTCCCCGAGATGATCAAGTTGATGGATCAGGAGGGCGCCTTCGCGGTGGAGATTGCGCACTGCGCCTTCGGGGCCAAGTGGCCGAAGCCGACCGGCCCGCTCGCAAACGCGGCAGCGCAGAAGGACCTCGACTGCCGCTGCCCGAGGGATCATCAACACCAAGAACTGCGAGGGCGGAACTCCGAAGGTCGGCCGTGGACGCGCCTTGCTGCGGCGCGCCCCAGGTCTCTGCAGCGCCCGCGCGAAGCTGGCGCGGCAGGCGATCGACGCGAGGGAGCTGGGCATCCACGACTGGAGAGCCCGAGAAGTTCGGAGCCCCCAAAGAAGCCGAAAGCAGTCATGGACCACTGGGCGGAGATATCGAGATGGCACCTATCATGGAAAAGAGTGTGGGCATATGATGACCACATCAATGTGCAGGAGATGCGGACAATGACCTCTGTGGCGAGGCATCTGTGCAGATCGCCCATGCGCTGGTTCCGTGAATTGCTGGTTCTGTGCGACTCGATGGCGACGGCAGGCGCGGCGAGAAAAATTAAGGGCTTACCCCGCCCGCTGATGACGCAGTTGAGGAAGATTGGCGCCATCACCCTGGCGACGGGCGCGAGGCTGACTTTGAGGTGGACACCTACGGACATGAACCCAGCGGACGGCCCGTCGAGAGGGGAAAGCGTCGGCAGCGCCGAGGTCACCAAGACGAAGGCCGAGCAGAAGAAGGACGTCCTGGATTCTAAGCACCCGTTCGAAAGGTCCCTGGACGACCAGATCGAAGAAAAGGGCACGCACGCCGATCATGCCCAGGCATGGCATCTCTAAGTTTGATGTGCTTCACGACGATTTGCTGCGACACGTTCGTGTCAGCGCCGCCAGCCAGGGACCACGAGACGCCGAAGCAGACGAGCGGCATGGATAGGACATGGAAAACGAGGACGATGACCTGGACCGACCTTCAGGGGCTAGCTTGGTCGCGGGAGCTGTGGAGGCCATCAAGTCAGAGAGAAAGGGCTCGATCAAGAAGAAGGCTTCCAGCGCGAGGAAGCAAGACAGCGCTCGCCGACGACCCAACATCCCGATGAAGAAGAAAAGTCCCAGAGCCTTCGAGAGCGCAGCCATCGAGAGGCCCGTCAACAAGATCTCCTTCGAAGACGACAAGCTGGAGCGGCCTCTCCGGCTGCTGATCCACGCCACGCAGGACGACGCCAACGTGCGGTACATCAAGGAAGTGGAGCCTTTCGTTCGCGAGGTGCACAGGAAGCCTCTTCCATTCTCCAGTCCAGGCGAGCGGGACATCACGGTGGCCGCCGAACTGGACAGAAGATGCTTCGCGGAGAGGGCCCCCCTGAACAAGGGCACCATGCTGCACCACGGACTGATGCACATCAACCCAGAATGGAAGTCGGAGATGCCGAATGCCCTGAGAGCGTTGCACAGCTGGGAGAGGCACCAGGAGACATGGGAAGAGGGCCTGGCCTCAGTGGACGCAATCTACTATATTTCCCGAGAAGCAGTTCAGCGAGGCCACGCGGACGAAGGGATGGTCTTCTTGCTGGCCTACGATTGCTATCTTCGAGAGCAGGACTGGCTTCAGCTGAAAGCGGAAGACGTGCATGTGAGTTATCGAGATCAAGCAGATCCGAGGTCAATCAACGCTGCGATCCTGCTCGGACGACGCCACAGAGGAGAGAGCGTGAAGACCTATCGATGACCTTGGGGTCGCCACTATGATTGCAGAGCGAGCGCAAGACATGCCGAAGGACGAGCTCGCGCTCAATACGACGGCTGCAAAGACAGGAGCTGCACGGCGAAAGACCTCGGCGGATCAAGCCATGAACTGGATCGGGCCTAGGAACGCGCTGAGACACAGTGGACCAAGTCACGACATCCTGTACAAGAGGCGCCCCATCGGCGAAATTCAGAGGAGAGGCCGGTGGGCCCAAAGTGAAAGCATGAGGCGATACACCAAGCCACATTCACTCATTGTTCACAACTCGAGGCCACCGCCCGAAGTCAAGCAGTTGGGACGAGAAGCCAAACATGATACCAAAGTTATTGTCCGAGGCATCCCTCTGGCCAGCTCGCGGAGCGCGGCCAGCCAGGCCACCGCGAAAATCACCGGACCCCGCGGCCCCCAGGCCACGGCGCCCTTGGACGAGCCAGATTGAGACGCGACGGCTTCGCCGACGCACGCCCTGCCTGCCCGCTGCTAAAGCGCCCCCCCCGGCCCCCCCCCTCGCCCACCAGATTATGCTGAGGCGCCCCGCCCTCCCAAATCCCAATCTTCAAGCGTGAACACGGGGCGCAGCGGCTTTTTTTTTTCTGGAGCTGGCCCTCGCCGCCCCCAAGTCGCGGGCGCCCCGGAAGCCGAGCCCTCGAGCGAGGCCCAGACTGCCGCCGCTGGCGGCGCGAAACCTTCGGAGTGGCAGGCTGCGCGCGCCGCGGCGTGGTGAAAATCCACATCTGGCCATCTCATCGTTCTGTCTGAGAATGCACGCTTGCAGACGGAATTTCTTGGCGCGCGCATAGATATGGCCGCAATTATATAACCCCCCCCCCTTCGGGCCTCGGCGGGGCAGAGGGGGGCGGGACAGCGAGGTGCGCTCGGGGCTGCGAGAATAGAACCAGCAACATGTTGTCTTACATACATTGGCCCACGCCCACGGGAGGTCCAGCGTTCGGAGAGGCCTGGGCGGGCGCCCTTCGCAGGCGCGCCAGCGCGCCGAGCTCCAGGCCTCGCAGGGCGGGCCCGCAAGCGTCGCCACGATCTCCCCTGCCCCAATCGCGCGCGCCCAGAGCTGCAAGGCGCCCCCCCTCGCGAGGTCCCCGCGCTGCTCGTCGACGGCCACGTCGATGGAGAGACGATGACGCTGCGCCCCTGCTGAAGGCTTCGAAGCACGCCCGAAAGTTCTCGGACCCGCGGCGCCCCGAGAACAGGCGCAGGATGAAAGCGCCCTCGACGACGGGACGCTCGATATGCGCCGTGCTCGGGACTGCGAGTTGCGGGGTGGACTCCATGAGCGATGGCGGGATAATGCGCTCCTGCTCGTCGCAATCACCCTCGTAGATGTCCTGCGCGAGCTTCATCGCGACGACCCGCCGCGCAAGGAGAAGGACCTTCTCCGCGGCGCGGCCTGCAGCCTGCAGCTGCGCCACTGCCCCCCGCCCCGCCCCCCGTCTGGATTCCGCCTCGTCTCTCGACATGGGGCCCCCCAGCTGCTCCAGCACGCGCAAGCACTTCGGGCTGCGCCCCAGGCGCTTCAAGACCCAGGTCCTCGCGTGGACCTGTAAAACGCATCCTGGGCAGAGGCTGGTGCGCACATGCAGTTCTGCGTCGTCATTGCCGATGCGCTGCTGCATGGTGATGCGGCGCCGCCACGCACCCTGGGTGCCGGTGCAATGGCCGCACTCGTAGCAGATGAAACCCCTGCTGCTCGGCGCTGGCTTCGCGGCGAAGTCCGGCGCGATGTTCCCCGGTGAGGTGCGACGGAGACCTCTGCCACACAGCGCGCTTGCATGGGTCGAGCTGCCCAGCCCGATATTGGAACCAGGCGCGCGAGATGGCAGCGCGCGCAAGGTGTTCCTCTCGGAGCCTTGCCCAGCGCGCGAAGCCCTCGATGCCCCCCTCGGGGCCTGCGTCTCTTCTTGACCCAACGCAGGTCCCAAAAAATCACACTGGCCCAGGATCCGTCTGCCTCCCAGAGCTTCTCCAGCAGCCGTTTCAGGCAGGGCACCTGCGCATGCACCAGCCTGACCAGGCAATGCAACCTCCTACTGCGAATAGTCATGTGGATGGGGACCTCCTTGCGCATCACCTGGGCCCCCTCGTCTGTGAAGTGCCTTCGACAGTCGCCGCGGTGGAGCTGATGCACCGCCGCCCTAAGGCCGTGCATGCGGCGCGCGTGGAGGGCCCTCGCCCGGCTGGTAGCGAGCGGGCCCCACACCTCGCACTCGCAGACCAACTTGCAGAGACACAGCGATCCGAGGCACGGCTGCTCGGCGGCCAACTCCACCGACGGCAGCTTGAAAATCGCCCTCCCCAGCGGGGCCTCCGCCGGTGACTGCCGACGTGCCTCGTGACATTGGGCCCCTCAGAGCCGCCTGCACACGCGACGCTCCCCAGCGTGAGCCCCTGGATGACAATGATGATATTGCGCTCCTCCGTATCCCTGGTGACTACTGGCGGATTGCTGGTGGGGATCTCTCGCCGTGCCGCCCTCTTTGCCTTGCCGTCGATCGCCAGTAATGCATTCGTCTTGAGCGGGTGGACCTCGTGTCCGAAAATGGCCAGCCTGTCGCGGATGCAGTCTTGGATGGCGAAGATGCGTACGATGATAGTGGGTTTGTCCCGCAACGGGCACATGATGATGGCATCTTCCATGAACGACACATCTGGCAGCGAGGGCTCGGTGCTGGCGCTCTCCGCCGTGATCAACTCCACCTCTCCCTCCAATTTCGCATCCAGGTTCACGGCAAACCCTCGGCCCTGCAGCTCGAGCTCCAGGGGCGCCAGCACCTGCGCGAAGCTGATGCTGAAGATGAGGTCCGCACACCCGTTGCATGGCCTGCTGCCCTTGCGTGACTGCGCACAGCCGTCGTGCCCGCGCACCTGGAAGCACGTGCATCTGCATGCCTCCTCCAGCTGGCGCCTCAGAGACTCGCCTGTGCATTGCAAGGCCATGAAGCCCGGCTGCCCGACGAGGTGTTCCAACGCGGGTTGGAGCCACGCGGGTGCTACGAGGCCGTCGAGCACATGCTGGAGGGCTGGCGTCGGACTACTAACGCCCAAGACAAACTCCCGGAGAACCCTGTAGAATGCTTGACGTAGATCGAGTGAGATTGCCGCAGCGGAAATTCCGCGTTGCCTGGCTACGGCGAAGAAGGACTTCACGCTGCGAGTGGAGAAGGCGCACAGATTGCGCGGCATGCCTCCATGCTGGGTGGCCCTGATCAGGGGGGCACAGCATTCCACCGTGACGGAACGCAGCCACTTCCACCACGCTGTTCAGCAAGATGTAGCGGTAGAACCCTGGGAGTCCCATGCTCCCTGCGCCCTTGAACAGCTTTACGGCGATCCCCTCCCGGCTCATGCGAGCGAAGGAGCACCTTGAGCACCACGGGGTGCCAATGCCTGGCCACCGCCTCTGAGGCGACCCTGATGACGTCGTCCCCATTGCGGTCGAGGCCCCCAGCGCGGCCCGACTTGCCGTCGGCGACGCTGTCCCTCAGCGCGTTCTTGGACATGAGCAGGGGGCCCGCGACGACATCCTTCAGCGACTGCTGCAGCGCCGTGGTGTTCCTCCGCCAGCATCTCTTCCCAGGCCCAGATGGTTGCCGCCTCGATGGCGGCGAAGTGCTCCAAGGCACGCTGGGCCACGGCCTCTGCGGATTCGAAGACCTCGCCACTGGCGCCCCTGAAGACCAGCAAGGCCGCGGGGCATCTTGGTGGTCGGCCTCCGTGAATAAGAAATTTCTTCGTCAATTGCCACTCTGCCTTGGATTGCTCGGCCTTCCTGCGGCCCAGGCGCTGGCCCAGGGTCGCGAAGTAAATGCCCCTGTCCGTGCCCAATATGTTGCGAAACATATCCGTCGTCATCGTGATGAAATTTCTCGCTGCTTTTTGCGGGACCTCGATGTCGTTGGACTCCCAGCTGCGCTCGCCGCTCTAGACTAGGTCCAGGACAATGTGCTGCCATTCGTCGCCACCATGAGCATACAGGTGCGCGCATGCAGGGGGTCTTTTCCGAAGTACTTCGAGGGGTGCGCGGCCCCCTTCTTTATGGGAGTTTCTGGTCGAGCTCTCTGCGTAGCGGCGGAACCATGCCAAGCGCGTCGCAACCTCTGTGATGGTCGGGCTCGTCGGCACGAGCTTCCCCTTTTGGAAATGCTCCCGCGTTTTCTCTTCCAATAGATTGGCCGCGATCTGGTAGCGCGCGCCGGCGTCGGCGCCCCATAACGGCAGCCCCTCGGGGCCCAGGTCCGCGTGGAAGGCCTCCAGGACCTCGCGGTCCTAGCTTCGCCTCGCCCAGTTGGATGGCCCCCGGGGCCGCCCGCTGCCGCCGCTAGCCCCCCCCCCCCCCCGCTATGCTGATGCATCCCGACAGGGTCCAGCGTTGCGAGGTAGTTGCCCTGCTCGTAGTCGATGGCTTTCCTGGCTTTGGGCTGCGGCATGTCGAAGTCGCGGAGCAACTCGCACTCCTCGGGTCAGCTGAAGAGCTCCTGGCACAAGCAAATGTAATCGATGCGGTTGGCCACCCCATCCTTGATGTAGATGACGTCGTCAAGGTCCCCGTAGAACGCGTTCGTGATGTAGAGCTGCTTCTCCGAAGCCGTGAGGACCAGCTGCTGGCCGTTGGAGTCCGCGGTCTAGTTCGGCCCCTGCTGGCCGACCCACTGAGACTGGGCAGCCTTTCGATGGGCTATGATGCCGTTCGCATCCACAAGGGTGATACTGGGCGCCCAGGCATCACAAAGGCCCCGGAACCTCCCGCCAACCTCCCAGCTGCTTGGAGCCTTTGCAGGGCGCTGCGTGGGCGGACACGATGGCGCGGTAGAACAGCGGCGCCTGCACCCGTGCAATGAGGCACCTCGGCGACGAGTGGAACTTCACCAACTGGGACCGTTTGCAGAAGAGCTCGCGTCCTTCAGCTCGGCGCAGGGGCGCCCCGCACTGAACAGCAGCGCGCAACCCCAGCTGCCGTGCACCGACCC